AGGAACCCGTGACCAAGGGAGACCCCAGGTGGTGGCCCATCCTCAGCTGCCTGAAGCCAGGCCTGGCAGGAGGCCCGTGACCGGGTTCACTGAGGGGCTCTGCAGAGCAGGGCCTCATGGGTACAGGGCAGGTGTGTGTAGAACCCCAGGAGGAGAACTCGGCAACTCAGTTTCCTCTTTAGTAGGTCTGAGCTGAATCTACAGCATGGCACACTTCTCATTCCAAACTCAACCAGAGAAACGCCGAACCGTGGGAGTTCTCTCCTTTTAGAGGAGGCAGCTCTCAGGAAGCTCTGGGGCCAATTCCTGGGGCAGACTAACTGCAGAGGCGGTCATCCATCCATTAAAACCCCCTGCTCCTCCTAGCAACACTCATTCCATAAAGCAGCTGTTAAGAATCTATCCCCCCCATTCTTTTTCGGTAGTGTTTGGTTAAGTATATACCCAAATAACAAAAGGCTATATTGCATTCAAAAAAGAAACTTGATACAAACTACTGGCTAATGTAAGTCAAAAAGATCCTAGATCATGGATACCTTCTTGACTCAATGTCTGAGAATGACATTAGAAAAAGAGTGGTGACTATTAGCAAAATACATATCACACAGGCCTACTCCCCTCTGCACCTGCCTAACTGCTTGACAACATACATCCTATTTTTATTTATTTATTGAAGTTAACTACTGCTGACCAGGGTGCCCATGATGATATTCTAATTAAGTTTGGAAAACAGTAGTTAGAGAAGTGGAATCCATACCAGTTTTCTGCACTTGCAGCTCCCTTTTGGCTTGTTCCAGGATGGACTTGATTGCTTCATCGGACCCGGTCTCTGAGGCTCGGATCCGGGTGGTGATATTACCTGCAAGGAGAAGCCACACCAATGACATCAAACCCACACCTGGAACAAAAACCAGTGCTGCACAAAGATGTTATTCTGATAAACAGATTTCACAGGAGTTGAGGCCGGTGATGGTAAGGAGGCAGGCATGGCCTCCTATTTACCTGTACCTGCTGTGCGTGCAACTTCACAGCAGGTACCGTGACCCTGTGCAGGAAGAGCTTCCTGCAAATCTACCTGGCGTTAAATGTTATTTGGCCAGTGGGACAAGCTCTCTCATTTACCCAAGCTGGACACCCATGGGTTGGGACCATGGAGAGCAAATTATTTAGTCCGGTATAAAAAAAGATGAAGGATTAAAAGGCAATGGTTTTCGTGAGTCACTTAAAAGCATTTCTAACAACTGTTTTGGTGTGGGGCTATGTTCAAGGTTCTGTATGTGTATTTGAGAGTGGAATCCCAAAAGGTAAAATGGAAAAGGGTAAAGGGTTGAGGCTGATTACCTATCAATCATTTGGATGTACAAAGTAAAGAGGCTGAAGGTTTAACTTAAAATTTTCCAATCTATTATCACATCCTGTCTTTTAAAAATTTATGAACAAGAAAAGGAGCCTATAGAAATCCCTGAAGGACAAGAATTCAGTCTTTTGGTCACATGATGATGCTTTGCAGAGTAGCCACAAGTACAGATGTACTGAAGCTACTATGGCCCGGGGGCTGGCCCCAGTTCTTTCTGGAAGCTGTCCACATATTTTAATTTTTCACTGCCTTACTAAATATAAACCGCCACACCAAACCATTTAAAACCCAGCATACCATAGGGACCAAACCCCATTAAAGATGCAACTCCGAGGAGTGCAGTGGGGGTTGGCTTGCCAGGGCCCACAGGAAAACTGAATATGATTGAAATTTGTCCACTCCGTAGCACCTTTAACGTATTTCAGAGTTAAAAGAAAGTACAAGGAAGCAGCAGTATCTCGTTTGACTTAGTCACATGATTTTTCTCAGAGCAACAACGGTTATTCTTTCACCTGCTTCTGAGAAAATGGGAACAGCATAATGGGGGTTAGGATTCTTATTTGGGGACTAATTCTTAGTGGTGGAGCCCGCTTCTCACCTTTTCTGCACTTGATAGAGTGCAAGCAGCTCAGGAGGAAGGGGCCTTGTGTACTTGAACCCGTGCTTTGTTTTATACTTACTAGCTCTGTTTTTCCATCAGGTTCCAGGCCAGAATTACACTGCACAGTTTTAACCCAAATACACAGCTAAGGACATGCTGCTTCCTAGGTTACTAACTGCAAAGAAAAACACCTGCCTGCAACATACCTTCAGACCCATTTCTTCGTTTCGGTACTTCCTGAAATAGTCTGTTCAGGCTCTGGCCTGGATTCTCTGTTGAAAAACAAGTGTGGTAAGAACAAAACAATCAGGGGGATGGTGGTGTTGACGATATGGGCTGCGTGACATGAAATCTGAGCCACCTGACACTACCGAGGGCTCAGGGCTTCCTGTGCAACTCGGGAGCTACTAGAAACTTCTGAGCGGCCCTTCCCTGGCTGACTGGCCTCAGAGGCCATGGCTGTGCTGCAAAAGGAGATCAGATGGACCTAAGGCCTGTGGCACCAACGCCACCAGGGGCAAACGGAGGGAGCACTACTGCCAAGCGAATCGCCCACCAGCCCCCGGGACAAAGCTCACATTAATCATCCAAAGACAGTCAATTTCAGTTAACATCGCCATAAAAAGCTCCTTGTGCTTTGTGCAAATTGACGCTATTCGAATGTCTCCTTTCTATTTGTTTTGAGCCTAAATTTCAAGGTTTTTCAAATGCGTCTAAGATTACCTCTCTCTATCACTGTTGATTTAGCAGAATGATCCCCTGTTGTTAGAGAGGGAAGGAATTCTTTCAATTAGGGACCAGACTGACCTTTTATCTTTTTATGGAGGGTAGGTAGGAAGGATGTTTTAATGAAGCTTTCAAGAATTTAACTCAAGGCAGGTGTGTTTTGCTTATAATGCTAAATAAATCACTAATAGAACACAAGCACTGGAAGAGAGCTGACCATAGGACACACTCCCTTCTGTGCAGTGGGAAGAGGACACGTGGTTGATACGCTCTCCCCATGGAACCAGCTCTGTGTGAGGATTTACCCCAGCTGTTGCTGCTGCTCTGAGGCTGGATGGTACCCAAGGACTCCTCATGCGAGGCCAGCACCCAGGGCCAATCGGACCCCTGGACACTAAGCATGTAGGGATGTTGCATGTAATGTAATTCCCGATTCAATACATAGTACTGAAATACTGAGTTTACTATGTGTGAGGTGCTGAGCGAGTTTCAGAGGCCAGATCTCCCAAAATCTAATAGCTTTTGCTCATGCCAGTTGACCCTTGAACTCTGGAAATGGTAGAACCGAAGAGAGTTTTACCTGATGTGATGCACAAATGTTTCATCACACACAAACACGCACACACCACTCTGTGACCAGCTCAACCCATGAAAGTCTCTCACCTCTTTGTCTGCCTTGGATGCTGCGAAGAGCCAAGATGTTCTGCTCATCTGAGAGGAACTGCTTCATCTTGTGAAAAGGCTCCTTGCCGCGAACGGTCAGTTTATTCCATGGCTTGGGCCGGGCCAGAATCTCGCTCACGGACCCTTGAGACAGTCCCAAGACATAATGTCCGAAAATGCGCTGTCCAATATTGTGCTTGATCAACTGCTCTTTCACCTGCCGGGCGATTTCTGCAGTGTCTATCTCCTCGCCCTCGGAGACGCTCCCAGCACTTTCTGACTGGCTGGGAGACGGGGCCATGCCATTTACATCTGGGCTTTGTTGTAATGGACTTTGGGAAGATATGGAGTTTGTGCTGTATGGACCTGTTGAAAAAATCATGCTTGTGCTTCCTGCTTCCTGCATGGCCTTGGAGTAGAAGGACTGCATTAGCTGTCGTTGGAGGAGAGAGTTTAGTGCAAATTTTCCCGTAGAAGCCAGGGGTAGGCTGGGGCTTGCCAGGGATGAGCTGAAAAAGTCTTGAGTTAACCCCGCTGGTGAGAACTGGTGTGTACCATTAGTATTGGAAGCCTGCTCCCCCGTGTTGCGGGGCAACTGAGGAGGGGGCGCCGGCAAAGGTCCAGGACGCCGACTCTCAGGCTGGTCTTTCCCTTTTCTCCTGGCTGACCCTACAAGGAAGGGCAAACATAATGCATTATGGGGGATTCAAAAGGGAAAAAAAACCAAGACCAAAATGCAAAGTTTGCCCCACAAAAGGGAAAAAAAAAGTGCATATTTTACAAGGGCCAATGAGGAGTGTTGGTTTGTTTTTCAATTGAATTTTTAAATCAGCCAAACAAGGCCCCCCGGAAACAAGCAACATGCATTTCATGTTTGCACCTTTCTTGTACGTTGCAGCCTGGAGAATCCCCTTGACATAGATTCAATCTCCTAAAGTGACAAGGAGCCGGTACCACACACAGTAAAGAGTTGACAAGTCGTGGGCCTCTGGCATTCGAGCTATTACCAGGGAGGCCCCACCTGAGGAGCAGCAAACACTGACATTTTGGGACCAACGGATTCTCTCACACCACTTGCTCTGAGGCGAATGCACTGCACCAAGTCCACTCGATCGAAGGCACGCATTTTAAGAATGAAATATCATCGGAGCCCGAGACACTTTTAAACGGTTTACCAGCTGCCAAAACCAGAAGCAGTCAGTGACGCCACCATTTTGGGATGAGCAAAGAAAGGCTAAGGATGGGGGATGCGTTCCCAAGGAAAACCTGACAAAGGAAGAAAAGCTCCACTGAGCCTGGAAGGACAGGGCTAACCTTGTCAGCAGCCCCCGAAACACCACAAGAGAGAGGCTGCACAACTAGGAAAAGATCAGAAAGCCAACATCCTCTGAGTGTTCCTCCTGCAACATTGGCTCTAACTGGCCTCCGCAGACACTCTGCGGCCACACGTCTCACCTTGACCATCTTTAAGCAGGCGGGGGGAGGGAAGGAGAGGAGCAGTGAGGAGGAGTAGGAGACCAAACACTTATTAGTCAAGGTTCTCATCAACTGGTGATGTCCCCGTCATGCATCGGCCCAGACTCACGGTTCACCTTCCTCTTCCTCGAACCCTGGAAGGGACTGAGCACGGCTCGTGAGACCCTGTGAACCTACCGCTCAGGTCACTGTTGGAGATGCGCAGTGCGGCGTTCTCGGACTGCAGCGAGCGGTTCTTCTCCAGCAGCAGCACCTCCAGGGGCTTGGCTGCGTCCTAGACAAGGCAGAGTGGGGCTCACTGCAGGCCGGCCACCTTCCCACTCCCCAGGCGACCAGACCCCGCAACCCGATCCACAGCTTTCCACCAACTCTCTATCTGATTCTGACACATTACAGAAATCTGACTTCTCCTGAAGATGACTGATACATATGAGGAAAACACTCAAGTTCCTTTCCAAAAGGAATCAATTCAGTTGAAGTAATTTTTCCTTTTCTAGACAACTATTCTCTATTCTGTCCCCAAATTCAAACAGTCTAAACCTCTGCGTCCTCTGGCAATCGGGCTGGGCTGGAGAGCCACACACCTGTCAGAAAATGATTGTAAAGGTGCCAGCCACAAAAAGTCAGCTGCTTTCTGGGCATCAGGAGCAGGATTCCATCAGATTACTTAAATTTTAATTGGCTACCAGGTTACCACGTGCCATTGTCACCTTGCCTATGTAGATAATAAAAGTTCCTAAGCCAGCCTTTTTGGGCTGATTCTTAACACAATCTGAAATTGTTTTTATTCAAGTTCTTATACTAACTTAAATCACAATTTCACTGAAATTGAGTTATCAGTTTGGAAAACATAACTTTTCTTTTTAAATAAAGATAATTTGCTTTAACTTGGTTAAATGTTCTTCAGGAATGATAGGTCAGCTGTAGGCAAGAGGTCTCATAGAAATACTGAGATGCTGAAGCTTGCCTAGGGACAATCAGTCACTGTGGCCATGTTGAAGCTCACACACACTAAAACCAAAGTGAGACCATGTACCTGTGTCCCAGCTCCCTCGGATGGTGTAAACTCCATGGACTTCAGAATACTGCGAAGAGCAAGACAGGGCGGTTATTTCCTACTCATACCTTTGGTAACAGCCATACTAATGAGCATCAACATCACAACCTCCTGCTCTCCAGGAACGGACGATCTGACAACTTTAACAACTTCCCTGGCAGCATTATATCTGATAATGTCTCTAGAATAACTATTCAACTAGCAGTTGGCCAGCAAAAGTTTCTTGCCCGGCATGTAAATCATTCCATATGGAATCACACCAGGTCTGTTCAGAGTATAATTTTAAAGTTGAACACAGGCATAACACTGATGTAAGTGGAATGTATTTGTAAAGCTTAGTGGGGTGAAAGAGTTGGTACAAGGAAGCCAGAGAGAGAAATCTCAGCACCCCAGGGCTGTCGCCCCACATGCTCACTTGGTAGTTGGTACCTGGGGATTGGGAAAGGGGCAAAGAGCATGACCCCACAGCTGGATGGCTCAAAAGCTGGCACAGACCTTCTCTGCAGCTCTGGGCTGGGGAAGGAGCACCATCACAAAGCTGTGGGAGAACAGGTTTATTTCTCCTTTGTTCTCTTTATCATTGAGATCACATCAGTCTCTGGCCTGTTTCAACAACTCTGAGAGCTGAGTGAGTTCAGGTGCCCAAAACTGCTGTTTCCAGCGTTCCTTTAGTGTGGATACTGCTTTCTTTCTGTGAGTCTACTGGGGAGGAAAGGGCAAGTGAGTCCACGTGGGTGCTCCCCTCACACACAAGGGGGAAGGTGGGAGTGCGGGCTTACGTCCCAGGCACAGGTCACCTGAGTTCTCCCAGCATTCTCAAAGCCATGACTTTAGCCTCTGCCCTCTTTAAGCTCCACGGAAGTGTCACCAGGAGAGTACAGTGTGTAGAAATGCCCAGGGCCCTGGGAGACCACTTTCTGCCACAGCCACCACGAGGTTTGGTAAGCAGCTGACCGTGCTTAGTTTCTCTACGGTTGTACCTTCGCAGTGGCCCTTCTCATGTAAACTAACAACACAGAATGAAGAGGAGCTAATGTGGGTAAACCATGTAATTTTATTTCATAGGGTGTTATGGGAAATACCAACTCAGCTCCATCCCATGAGACAGAAATCTGGAAGTTGTCCTTTCTCAGTGGCCATCACGTTGTCACAACTATATTCTTGTCCGAGAGCCTCTCTGGGATTATGTATAAGAAGATGGAGTCTCTAATTTATACTAAAAACGCCAGTGTCTCTTCATTTAGTGAACAGATATTTACCAATGACCTATTATGTGCCCGAAACTGGAGAATCAGAACCACTCTGCTCTTCATCCTCATGAACATCATGGGCTCTTTCAGAGAAGACCAAATCCAGAAAGCATGAGAAAGAGAAAACCTGTGGGGCCCTTGGCAGGAGAGACCTCATCGGGCTGGAGACAGGGCTTATCTGTTGAGGAGTTTGAGATGGGGCTCGAAGAAGCAGGATGATTTACAGACCATTGGGGGTGTAGGGACCCCAGGAGAGAGAGGAGAAGGAAATGTGAGCATGTGTCCAAAAAAGCACTTAAATCACGAGGAAGTGGGAGGCCAAGAACACATTTTATCAGAAAAGCCACCGAGTGGGGTAGCTTTCAGATGCTGATGTGGCAGTGGGGGCTTCGGTGTGCAGATGCAACAAAAGGGCTGGCAGGAAGGTGGGAACGATGCTCTGAGAGGAGGGTGTGAACCAGCTAGGCAGGTAATGGGCACGAGGGGACAGGCCTCTGGGACGGGGAAGTGGAGGTTGGGAGAAGAAAGTCCTGGAGTCTAGGCAGCCAGGGAGGTGTGAGGCCAGGTGTACTCTTTCAACTGGAAAATATTTCCCTGCTGCTTCTGCTTGGGGATCTTATAACTGAAAAAAAAAAAGCTCTATTTTACAATTTCTAAAATGGTAATGTCTCCCCTGATTCTGTGCATACTGGCATACTTTAAATGCGCAGTTGTATAAACAGTCCAAAGAATTCAGGCACAGGCCTAGGGGAACACTCGCAGTGTTGGGCAGCCCAGGACATGGCACTGCGGTGTAGCGTCTGCCAAAGCCGAGATCCGGGACCCGGGGCTGCCCCCTCACTGCCATGGCATATTTTAGCAAGTGTCCCCAGTGAGTGGCTGAACAGGCATCACCACACTTACTTTAGCTCTTTCTTCACCTCTTCATAGTCGGCCTGTCCTTTGAGTTTTTCTTCCAGTTGCTGAAAACAGAGAGGAATTTTATTAGTTCCCACATCTGAAATAGGTCGGTGGACTCTGCTATAAACTGAATGTCTGTGCCCCTCCCCTCCCCTGCCCCTCTGCCAATGCATTCCTTGAGATCCTAACTCCCTTGTGCTGGTATCCAGAGACGGGGCCTTTGGGAGGTGATTAGGGCATGAGGGTGGAGCCCTCATGAATGGGATTAGTGGCCGTACAAAGGATGCCCTGGAGAGCTCCCCCCCAATCTCTTCTGCCCCATGAAGATTCAGAGAGAAGGCAGTCTAGGAGGGAGCTCTCCCCAGACACCAAATTTGTCAGTGCCTTGATCTTGAACTTCTCAGTCTCCAGAACAGTGAGAAAAAAAATGTTTATTGTTTATAAGTCCCCGAGTCTAAGGTATTCCGTTATGGCAGCCAAAACGGACTAAAAAGATTTCACTGACTACATTCCCTGCAAAACATCCAGTGGTCCCTGAGAGGGAACGCAAACACATACCAATGAAAGTTGATAACGTGTGGCGTTGTCTTTTGTCCTTCACTCTGTGGTCTGGTGTAAGCACACACACACACACACACACACACACGCACGCACGCACACAATATAAGGCTGTAACATAAAATGTGGAAAACAATAGGAAAAGGCCATTCTGTATGAATACTGTGAAATGGCAAATAGAATGAAGAGAAGCTCTCCTAGCATTTTAAAAGCAACATGTGGTTTTTCACAAAGTATGTTTGGCTAGCTGATAGCTGATGCATACAGTCACTTGTCAACACCTTTGGTGGGACCCTGCAAAAAACAGATACAGCTCCTTTGTTGTTGGGGTTGTCATCAGAAAGGCATCAGGAAAAAGCATTTGTAGGGAATCTTAGGAGCAGAGGCCTATTCAGCTGGTGGCCAGTGGTTTCCCTGACAGTTCTGAGTCCTGTGGGGAGGGCCCTCCGAGGGTACCCTGGCCAGCAGGACCATAGCAGGACACAGCGGACCTCCTGATGGCCCTTCAGAGGAAAGGTGAGGGGCTCTGGCCAGGGGACCCAGGGAGTGACAGCACGTTTCCCAGGCAGGATGATGTTTTAATAGGCTCCATTAAAGTCTGTGTGCTCGGTGGGCACTCATGTGGCTGTTTCTACACAGAGCTCGGCAGGGTTTCCTTGTCAGGAAGGGCCTTTGGCATAGGGTGGTCAACAGCAGTGCTTCTCTCTAGGAAGGTGTTTGGGACTAGTTTGCTTTTTTCTCCCCCACAGGGAGCTCTGTTGGGGAAATAAGGCAGCTTATTATAAAACACAAAGACACAGCTTGGGGGAGGGTTCTAACGATTTAGCGTGTTTCCAAGCCCTGGTGAACAAATTCCAGTGCCAGAATCAAAGCACCTCCCCATCTCCAGGGCTTCCAGTTGCCTTGTGCTTAACCAGCCACAAGGTTTAAAGCCAACTGAGTACGTGCTCAAGTTGGAGGAGCAGATGCTCATCCGGACATCAGCTTGGATATTCACCTGAATCCCACCCTACTCGCTGTTTCAAGAATTCAGGTGTTCTGTAAACAAAAGTCACTCAGTCCATCTTTTCTATTGCATTTGCTGGCAGTTTTGTGTATTTTCCATTGTGTAAAATTGCACTGCCCTAGTTCCTTTTTAAGACCTCTTGCCAACGTTATGTTTATAATGGTTTCTCAGTCATAATCAAACAGGGTAGCATGCACTCATTTTCCGACAAAAGCTTCTCAGAAGGTGCTCATGAAAAACTGATTATTTCATTCTTCTCCCTGCAGTGGAATAGCAGGAAGCACTGATGGCCAGCCCTCCCAACAAAGCATTACCCGGTGCTGCAGGGGTACAGAAACACCTTTCAGACGGAGGAATTCACTGATGCTGGATATGAAACACACACAAAACTTGGTCATGTTCAGAGATCAGGAGAAAGACAGGAAGAAAGGCAGAGAGGAGAAAATCCGGAGCACTTCAGAACACGGCATGGCAGTGAACCTGGAGTCAATTCTGCCCCTGACAAGTTGGGTGACCCTGGACGTGTTAATAAACTTCTCATCTATAAAATGGGATAACAGCAATGACCAAAAAGTGTTGAGCTTAGGGGAACAAGGCAAGGACACGGTGCAGATGTTGGCACTGTGGGCCTTGGATATGGGACCATTATCATTGCCAAGTCCCAGTCCATCTTCCTGAGATCACAGTTGCTGGTCTTTGCAGACCTGAGGTCAGTCCTGATCAGAAGGCTTTAGGATTGGAGTCTGTAATTTGGTTGGATGTAAGTATTCACTGAGAACTAAACAGCTTCCACTGAAATTTTTGCCACCCACTTGAGGGTAGCTTAATTAAGAGCCAAGACAATGGCTTGTTGGGCAAACGGATCACTTCCCCCAGGATCTTGCCACTGCTTCCCGAGTGGGGCCATGTTAGCCCTTCCACCTCCCGTGGAAGGTTCACTCTGTCCTTTCCTCCAATCTGCTCAGTATGCCTTCAACACCCCACCAGGACAAGGCTCTGGGAGGCTCAGCCCTGGGCTCCTCTGCTTTTGGGATGCTGATGCTAGAACTTGCTCATGCCGTCCAGGGTAAGTATTCCTTGTGGTGGTGGGTGGGTGCAGTGGAGGCACATGCATGGGTCTCCCTTATATCGCCCCGGGCCAGACACTGCAGGGCCTGGCCTCTCCTGACCTAAGTGACCTCCACCACAAGGCAGCGATCATCATCATCACGCTTGTTCGCCTAATGAGTGTCAAATGGGATGTGGATGTTAGAGCTTTATACACTGAGATGTCGGTAAGATGCTTGTTAAAACATTATCGAGGGCAGCCTCTGTGCAGAGTAAAAACACTGCCTGGTAAGGAAACTTACATAACCAAAGAGGCAGCATCTAGAAATAAAGGTGCTGAATGACTCTAGAAGTAGTTATCAGTCTTTTATTCCTGTCCCAATGTCATGAGGGACACAGCATGCTCTGTGGCTCAAGAGGACCCATCAGCACCTTAGGAGGTGGGGTGAGGGGTGCAGAGGAGTGGGAGGCATGCACAGTTTGGAGGCAGTCCTGCAGGTAATTCTAATACACCTGCCCACAAATGTAATTTATCCCCATGGGAGATTGGCATCCTTTTAGCTATCTTTTCTTATAAATATAATTTTAAATTGAGACTTTTGGTACCACTGTTTTCTGTGCTATAGTGAGCATAATGCAGGTGACTGCCTCTGTTTTAAAGTGTCCCAAAAGAAGACCACAGCCTAGAGAGTTATCAAAAACAGCAACCTTGCAACAGCAGTTGGGTTATTTCATTAATTACGAATATAGAACTGTCCTTTACAAGAGGCACTGTGCTTGAGCACTTGTGAGGTTAGGCAGGAAGAAACTTCTACTTCTGAGTCTGTTTCCATGTCTATTTAAAGGCTATAGGACACACACTGTTTCTGGAGAGTGATGCATTTATGGTGAACTTGGCTTGACAAATCAACACGGGGACAGAAAGACTGGTAAACATCCAACTATCAATTTAGCCTCAAAAAATTACAAGTCAGTTGTCCAAGAGAAGGAAAGAAACATCAATCGCAAAGAGACGGAGTTTTGACGTACGAGAGAGGGAGACCAATTAGTCCTCAAACCCATTCCATTACAGGGTGCACCACCAAAGTGTGCTGGTGCAGAAACCCCATAAGCTCAGGACACTCAGTAATCTCAAGATTCTGCTCCTTATGCCTCCCGCCCCGTGAGACCAACCTCCCACATACCTAATCTGTGACTCTCATTAGCACTTATCTCAAAGAACATTGTTCATGTTCGTGGCAAAGCACCCAAAACTCCAAGAAGCTGAGATGGTTGGAAGCTGCAGCAGCCTCAAAAAGATCCTAATTTGAGCCCTGCACAGTGTGTCTCAGAGTCCCCAAAGCTGGACAACATGGTCCAAGAAGAAAAGCGCCCGGGGAAGGGGATGGAGGGGTTAGGAGAGGGAGGAGGAGAGCCCTGGGAGTCCAGGGAGGGTTGGCTGATGCTTCTGTGTGGCTACCACCGCTGGGTCAGAGGCTGTTGCAAAAGCATCAGGCTGTCAACTTGACAGGTCTCATTCATAAAATATTTTCCTAATAATTGTATCGCTGCTTAGTTTAGACTTGAGACTATAAATTATACACATTAGGGGGGAAAAAAAGCCCTGGGAAGGTATCTCATTCAATTAACCTTGCTCCTTTGGGGAAGGCTAATGCCTTTTGTGTGTGGGTTCGATATTGGGGAGGTCTTCACTCCTGGCGACAAGGGGTTAAGATAATTAAAATCAGAGAAGTCTTGTTACTAGAGGATATGTTTTGATTATTAGATCAGATGAAGATAAGGGAGCAATAATTTTTGAAGAAGTATTGCCGAATTGTTTCATTAACTGCACAGTATTAAAGAATTCCCCCAAGATACGGATAAAGAACATTAATTTGTGAAAACCGCGTTTCATTTTTTGTGAAGGCAAACATTAAAACCTTAACTGATTTAGAAGAAATTGCTCTATAATAAAAAATGTAAGGTCTACAGCCTCCCTCTTATGTAGTCCAATGCCGAATGTATTCGAGTCAAATACTTTAATGGTAACAGAGGAGAGGAAAGGCAAATTATCTAATAATAATGCCAGTGCTAGGGTCAAAAATGGCTATATCATGAAAAAATTAGATTTAATCTAGAAATAAAAAATGGTATTCACTGAGCAGGCTGATGAGAGAGAAAGACACACTGAAGAATAAATGCAACGGTTGATGACAAATATGACCAGGTCTCAACCATCTTCCTAGTCGCAGGACCGTCGTCCTTGAGGGGCCTAGGCACCGGACAGTTTCTCAGGCAGTGGATGAAACCCACCCCAAAGAGGCAAAGAAGAAACTAGCGAGGGGGAGCCATGGGTTCCACCGGTGCCAGCGAGGTCTGGCCAATGAGCTGCCATGAAGACAGACTTGCTGGAAACTTAGCTCTGGGTCAGAAACATGGTCATGTGTTGAGAAGAAAATTTTCAATGGAAAAAAACCCCAAGATGGACCTAACTATAGTCTAGAATTACTCTATATAAGAAAAAGTTGTCCTGACATTTTTATAACTAATCTTGACCCACCTTATTTAGTATACAATGACTACACTTGGCAGTCACTCACTCATTCATTCACACATCCAACAAATGGACACTGAGTGGGGGCAGAAGGGGGCCCAAGTGGGCATCACTCAGGAGGGACGTCAGAGCAGGGGAACGTCTGGCCTTGGAGCAGGGGCCCCAAGCCCTTGCTGGCCCTATCTCTTCAGAGTCAAATACAATACTCTGAAGACGCCCTCTGGCTCTGACATGCTGTGCATCTACGGTCCCAGGACTATCTTCAAATTTCCTTAGTAACTTCAACAGATTGGAAATACCTTAAATAAAGTATATATATATATATTTCAATATAATGAAAAAGGTTCCAGGTTCTGAATTTGGGACACAAAGTTATGAGGAACCCCAAGAGGATCTAGCTTTGGTCTGGGCTGCTGTGATTTCCCTGGAAGGAAAGAGAATGACTGTGTGAGCTCCCTGTGTTGAAGCAACACCACATTTGGGGTGCTGTGGTACATCACAGGCCTGAGGGACAAAAAATGATCCTGCAGTTTGAGAGCATGGTCCAGAGGGCTTGGGGCACCTCTTGATTTCATTTCATTTGGGTACAGGGGGAGCCCAAATTTCAGTGTGCTGGGTCCTCCTGCTGGCAGCTTCCTCCAAAGGCCAGGGAAGGCCAGCGGAGCTGGACTAATGGCATGTTTATACAGATGGCCTGCGAACTTCCAGCCACTCTAACCCACCCAAGAGCACACAGAACCTCCAGGTCTAGCACCGTCAGTCAGTCCCAGCTCTCAGGCGGTGAAGCAGTGCCAGGGGTGGGT